TATATGACCACATACTCATAATTTATCTTTTCAATATTGTTTATTCATAGACGAAAATCTTGCAGGCATGGTTAAGAAAAATATAATTCCTAGAAAGTATAAGGGAAGGATTATGTTCTGCAGATATATGACTAGCAAGGATAGCTGGCCATGCCCAGGGCTGGTGTTGGTTGAGATGGTGATGGTGCGGGGCGTGTGTGCGCGCGCGCTTGAGGAGTTGTAGAAGTGTTCATATCTGTAAAGTATTATTTCATGGATGCAGACCTCAATACTAGGTTGAATAACTTTGTTGCCATAGAAGAAGAACCACACATCAGGCTTTTTTCATTAGCAAACCAGTAAATCCTCACTTTGGGCCTCTGAAGTCACGCCCATCACCTGATACCTGAGATACAGACTGAAGCTAGCTCTTAAGAGCCTCCCTCTAAGATTTAGAGAGAATGATTTCTCAACCAGTTTTCATCTTTGAAAATGCCCTTTTCCTCTTTATCATTGTGATTTTTATTCAAATGCATGAGTCTCTGATTTTCTACCATATGCAAAGGGTAGAGACTCCAGGTTCCTGTAGAAGAAACTTTACATAGTGACCTAAGGATCTTATTTCTCAGAATTCAGGGATTGGGTTTCCTCTTTCTGGAAACAATGACACTAACTTGATTTCATGGTATCTCTTTCATCTTCCTCAATACTTGTACTGTATGTATATTTTTATCATATACTGTGGATATATTTTTATTACCAAAAAAGAATTTGAGCATGCCACAATTTTGAAAAATCTGAGGTTGCCGTGTTGTAGACCCCTTTAACTGCCAGGACTTTGTACTGTTTCCCCAGTGTTACCAGGGCCAGGCCGCCAGCCTTGTGCAGTCCGTTTGCCTCAGCTGGAACAGGGTGCTGTGGGTTCTATGAGCCATTCCGTTCCTTCATATTTGGCTTCCTAATTCCTTTCTTATCAGTTTCAGAGCCATTTCCTATGATTCCTCTGCCATATGTTTTCTGCCAAATTAATTGCCTTAAGATTTTCCTTAAGCTTTTGGAGATAATATAATGTTTGAGAAAAAAGAAAAAAAATAGACTGAGTGGAATCGTATCTAGTTTCAGTTAATAACACGTTTCAGTTGATGTTACTGTTATAGCTACTGGGCATAAAGTCTCCTTCCCTTTTTTGAATCCTATTTTTGAGGAATTGAAGCTGTGTCTGTAACAGACGATAGGACAGTTGGGTCAAATCAGTGATGAGATTGTCCAGTGTAAATTGGCTCTTCACTGCGCCACAGGCTGGGCTGGGGTCAGCTCCCACAGCGAGGCGAGGACCCGCTCCTCAAGCAATGGGTGGTGCTCTTTGGCCTGCAGATGCCGCTCCATTTTCCTGGCTTCAAAATTTTCCAGATATTTCAGTGCCCCTAGAATGACGTTCTTACATTCTGCTGGCATGGAAGCATGAGGCAGTTTGTCTCTAAAACCTGCCAGAGAATCTCTTGTCACCACCTAGGCAAAGAACCAGTGGCAAGGTGGCAGCCTCCCAAAGAGCTCATCCCTAATGTGACATCCTGGAATCAGATGGCACGGACACCAGCCCAGCCCAGCCTCTTCCAAGCTCTGTGACTAAGGACAAGTGACCCCCCCCTCCCCCAGCGTTGGTATTCTCCTGTGTACATTCAGAAGGCAGATGCTGCTGTGGGGCCATGTGTGCTATGTCCATGGTGCAAGGTGGCACACATGCCGAGTTACCAGGTGAGACTGCCCCTTTGGGAAGGGATAGGAAGGATCTCAGGTTGACTTCGTGGGCAGGATGGCTCTTATTTGAATGTGCCTTTAGCCCTCTCACAGAGCCTATTTCCACATCCCTGTGGATTCATCCCTGTGGAAATCTTGAGAGTCATTTATCCTATGCCGTCATGAAGAAGCAGCAGAAGGGAGAAGGTTTAAAAACACTCATGGACAGGCAAAGGGGTCAGACACCTCCTGGATCAGATGCACTTGCCTTCCCACACACAAGTCTGGAAGCTTAGGACAGTGTTCACGGAGGCAGAAGCTCAGGGTCGGGGCCTGAGTTTCCTGGGGCACCGCCTCCATATCTGGGGTTCCCTGGACTATGCCCGGATAGCTCATAATGTGCCAGCCTTGTTTGTGATGGAGAAGGACTTGGGGAAAAGCCACCAGGAAGCAGTAAGTCTAACCAGGGAAGTGCACTGACTGGCACGCTTTGAAGAGGAGAAGGGAGAAAAGATACGAAGCCCTCACCTGGTTTTTCGGTAACAGTTGTTATTTCTCAGGGGAGCTGCATTCATGGGCCAAGCGTGTGCAGCTGGGTTGAAGCATGCATTTTGCAATGGACTGTCTCCAAAAGCAGAGTGAGGTCACCCAAGAAATCCAGAGCAAGGGAAAATACTCATTAGCAAAGAAATTTTGCTGGAGCTGTGAAACGGCCAACTCATTTCCTTTTTAAGTTATTTTAAATGAAATTTTTAAAAAAAATCTTGCTTTCCAAGAAATTTTGTTTATTGGCATATGTTTGGTGTTTTAATTCAGTTTGGAGGATGAGCTAGTTAATTTCCCTGGGAGTACGTGTCTATTAAAAATATAGCATCCTGCATCTGACTGAGATAAATATCTTACTATCTTATTGTGCTTTTCTTTTATGCAGAGAGAGAAAGGGGGGTGTTGGGAAGGAGATCAGACTGTGGAAATATTTTCTTTATTTTTTCTCTTTTTCTTCCTTTTATAGTTTGCTTATTTTTCAACTTGACAGGGGTAGAGAAAGCAAATCGCTAGTATAGAAAGCACATCTGGAATCCATCCGGCCTCCTCGCTCTGGCTCACCCTCCCCCCAGCGATGCTTCTCCTTGAAAATGGGGGGAAGGTAGGCACCTCTGACCTTGGTAGGGTCTAATTTGCGGTCATTCACCGCAGACTCATCTTCTGAAGGCGTCTTATTCCTTCTCTACAAAAAAAAAAAAAAAAAAAGTGTTGGTATTAAAATGCTTTGAGGTAGGCTGGATGATCCCAGCTTAGTGAGGATGACAGGAAAACTCTTAGCTAATGAGCTGTTTATTGAGTAGACCTGAGGGAAGCTGAGATGTGAGCAGTGTCTCTCAGTAAACATGGAAAGACTGAAGATGCAGACAATCAAATACTTAAGTATCCTGAAGAGCTGGGTGGTGGGCAGGGTCTGTCCAGTCGGTCAGGGAGATGTGTTAGTGCAGCACTTGGAAAAGAGTGGAACGTCTAGGCAAGGATGTGCCGTGGAGGTGGGCAGTGGGAGCAGCCCAGCGTCAGTGTCTGTATCGGTTAGAGACCACCGCTAATGAGGAGGAGCCTACTCTGCAGCTGTCCGTACTCCTGTGTCTTCCGTAACGTGCCCAGCTTTCTGAATATATACAAAACTAGTCTGCAAAGAGCCACATGTCTCAGCATCTGGCTTTATTTCTAAGTGTTCAGGTGGAATTTAAGCCATCATCAAATTCACAACGTCACTGCCAGCTCTGGACACTTGCTTTTGGAATACAGCAAAGAGTGAACACTAATACTGCATCAGTCTTGCCCTCTGTTGGGGGCCACCCCTCCTCCCCACACCAGTTTTGCAAGATGAGCCGGCTGGGGTCTGGGAAGCCCAGTGCCTCCAAGTCATGGTTAAAACCCATCCCAGACACCAACACACCGCTCACAAATCAACATCGGGCCTGCAGAAACATGGACATGTGTTCGCCAAGAGAACATCCTCAGTCAATCCCAGCAGTGCCACCTGATGATAATCAACACATGGGCCACGGAAGAAATTACCCCATGTCCATAAACAAGAATGGATAGAGGGTAGTGTATCTGCCCACACCATGAGAGCAAGAAGGAATATTCAGCATGCAGGTGCGTCTGTGTGCAGGACTCGTACAAGCATCATGGGGAGAGGAAAGCAATGGACACAATTGTATCCTGCAGGGTTTCATTCATGTGAAGGTCAGAAGCAGGCTAAACTCACCTAGGGGAGGGTCCTAGCCCAGGTAGTGGTGATGCTTGGGGACAAGTGGTGACTAGGAGGGGCACAAGGAAGGCTGCAGGGTCCAGCCCATCCTCTTGCTGGCCTGGGTACTGGTCTCACTGATCTCTGTGTGCTGGGGCAGGCAGCGTCCCAGGCCTGCCGGTGCCCGCAGTGCCCAGCACTCCTGCAGTCCCTGGCAGTGTTAGTACCAATCCTCCAGAGTGGCTGACTCCCCTCTTGCCCTGAGTAGGGCTCGCTGACTCCAGGAGCCTCAGGCCTGGGTGGGCTTCGAGCTTTCTTCCAGCAAACTTGAGGTCTGTGGCTGGTACCCCTCAGGAGCGGAGGGGAACTCTTGTCCATGAGATGCTTTTAACCGTGCACAATAATGTGTAGATGCATCCAAAATCAATCTGGCCTTTAGCCCAGCACTTAACTCTTGGGATGAGGCCCGCTTTGTAAATGTTGATAATCCAGAGAAAATGAGCTTTTAGATTCTAAAGACGCCAGATATCTTCCACTTAGGCAAAATGCGGAGAATCATATTTAACAAAAGATGTTCTGGACAAATATGCTTCTTGAGGGATGAATATTTAATTATAAGGGAAATGATAAATCGAACATTAATGGGAAAATATGTTTGCCCTCAAGATTCATAGTTTTGATGGGTCTCTGGCAAATCTTATACTATGTTTATTGGGGTTATTTTATTGCTGGTTATTGTCTTTAATTGTTTGCTTGTTTTCTGCTCTGCTCAATTTTGTATGAGCCTGTGGAGCGATGGGTCTATTCACCCTCTTCTCTCCACTCCTGGGAGCAAGTCCAGATCTGGCTGTTGGATGCATGGCAGAAGCAAAGGTGTGGAGAAGGTTCAGAGGAGACAGGACAAGTAAAAATGGCAGGGTCAGGTTGTCATGGGGGATGCATGGCA